GGACGGGATTTAAAGCGGCAGCTCCCGCCGCTGCCCCCCCGCGCAGCCCCCCCGTGGCGTTGGCTCCCGTTGGCTCCCCCCACGGCGCCGCCCGTTCCCCCCGCGCGGCGGGGAGTGGGCTCTGCGCGGCGGTGCGGGGCGCTTCGCCCCCAGCCTGCGCTGCCCTCCGCCGGGAGGGTGGGCAGCCCCCATGGTCAGGGAGGCGGATCCAAGGCGGCCCGGCTGGGCGGGAAGGCGCTTCCCGCCGTGCGGGCTCGCGCCTGAGCCGGGATCCGCGCCGCGGGGCTGGAGCAGCGCGCCGGGAAAGCGGAGCCCGGGCTCAGCGCAGGCTCCAGGCAGCCTGGCCTGCGGGAAGGGCAGTCCCGGGCGGGAAAAGTACGGCGGGAACCGGGACGAGAGCTCCAGAGCCTCTGACGTAGTGTAACTGGAGCTGAGATTGGCTTATTTTGTGTGGCATCTGGAAAGACTGATTAAACTCCCGAATTAAACTTCATCCTCTTTTAGTGCCTCTCAGTGTAAAACAACTGCTGCCTTTCACCGATTTGTTTCCTGTGCTTGGCTCGTGTGCTGGTTTAGAGGACAACTTTAAGGTGCACCTGGCATTAGCCAATCTTGGTATGAAAGCAGATTTAGCAAGAGGAAAGCTGAAAATATTTTCAAAGGAATAAAAGTTTTCTTTGGCTTTAGGAAAGCCAACTCACTTCCACATTAGTTTATGACCTATATTCTGGAAATAGCAATACTGCTTACTTATCTAAACTGCTTACTTATCTAATCTGATTCTATATATTTAATAATGCTGCTTATCTGCTGATCCTCAAGATCACCTTGGAAGCTGACTCCATAAACTTGTATAAACAGTGGAAAGCTCTTACGGCTCTGATTCGAACTACTGAGGTACAAAGCAGCTTTACTCCAGAATGGGGGTAACTCAGCCCAGCACTGTGTATGAACCAACAAGCTCTGCTTAGGCTCAAAAACTATTCTGGAATAGCTTTTTGGTTTCCTATTCAGAACTAGTTTGTGTTTAACTACTCTGAGCTCAGACCAAACAATTGTATAAACATGGCATCTGGATTTCTTAAATTGATACATCAAGGATTTTTTATCTATCTCTCTTCAGAAATATTTCTGACCTATTTGATTTCAACACATTTAGCAAAATATTGAAACCTAGACATAAGGAAAAAGGACGGTGTTTGCTGTCCTACAGAGTTTACTGTATTTATTTGAAAAAGGAATATTGCCAGAACTTGTAGTATAACCCTAGATAAAAGTATGACCCTATTCCTAGCTCTTCAGAAAATTAGTTTTTTTGGAGATAACATATAATATTAGGAGACCTCTAGACGTGGTCTCATATCCTACGTTATAAAATAACATGTTCTAAATTACAGAAAAGAACTGAAGACTTAAATCTACTATGGTACCAAATCATTTAAATGGTGGAGTAGACTTAGAAATAAATGCAAATCATGTTTGATTATGGCCTTTCTGGACTTTTTTTTTCTGTTTGAAATTCTGTACGTTTACTTACAACAACTTTCTTTTCTACATCATTTGTTTTCTCTTTATGTCTTTGTCAATCTCAATGGATTGGTTCTTAGCTTTCTGCAGTGACTCCTGTCTTCTGTGATGTTTTGACAATGAGGGCAACCTCGACAAGGATGCACATTGGTACAGGAGTATTTGGGACTGTATGAGCTGAGGCAAACACCAAGACGTCACAAATGTGAGAGGGAGAGAGCGAGAGTGCACTACGTTACTTTGGGATGTAGTTCCCCCTGCTCACTCTTCCAATTGCTAATTCCCACTCAGTATTTTCTGAATGTTGCCAAAATAAAAATCTCTCAGTATCTACAAATTGTATCTGAAATGATCCAGAGGGCTCACACTTGGATATAAACATGACGCAGACTTGTCTGACCACACTGAATTACATGTCATATAATTTCAAAGATTGCCTTGAAAGCTGCCATATTTAAAAAACATCAAAATCTACTTTTGAAACTGAACAGTTCACTTTTCAAAATCCATCACTGAACTCTTGTCTAACTTCAGATTTCTTCAATTCAACAGAGAGTCAGAATTCCAAAAGATGATATTTTGTGATCCAAAGCAGAATAAGAAAGAGTGAAAGTTCTTAACATCACTCTGAGAAAGAGTTTTGTCCTGAAAAAAATAAAAGACATGAAAATGTCATTTTAAAAATCCTTTTCTATTCAGATTGGACAAATGTCTCCATTTGTGGGTAGAAATTTTGCAACTCCTACAGGCAGAAGGCCTATTTGTGATATACCAGTCTTCTCCTGCTTTCCATTTACCTTCACTAGAGAAGTAGCTAACTTAGTAGCTAAGAAGTAGCCAGTAAATCAAGCTAACATATCAACATTATGGTAACATTATCAAGCACTCCCTGTGAATGTCCTCCCAGTTTAAACACAGAAACCACATGTTCGGCTTCCAGGTCCTGTTTTGGGAAATAATTAATTTCATAATAGACTTAATTTAACACAATTGAAAAGCTCTATCAGGCTGCAGACTAAAATCTTTGGAAATTTTGAGATCTTCAAATAGCCTGGAGGCTAATTGTGCTTTTTAATTGTTAAGACGATTTGAATGAGCCGGTGTGACAGATAACAACCACACTTCTCTCATGCCGACACACACTTGAGAGGGAGCAGTCTAAATTTGCAATGTGCAGTGTTACATTTCCTCAGCCAGGGAAGCCAGAGTCCACCATCCCAAAGAGGACGCCCCTTACTCCTATGGTGCAGGAAGAGGGTCCCTGGCCATTGCAGTATCTAGACTATTACTGCTTAGCTGTATCTCTAACCTCATAATTTTCTCAGTTATCAAGGGGAAGTGATTCATATCTCCCATAGCATTGTCAATATGTTCTTCATATCCTTTCCAGGCTTCACCCAAGGATGGGGCACCTCTACTCCATTGTCCAAGATCTCTCACAAGCTTGGATCCCTACATAAAAGGTAAATCACAGCATTCCTAAGTCGCTGCATTTCCCATTTTCCCTAGTCTAGCTCTTCATCTTTCCCTCTCCTGCTTTATGCATCTTTTGTAGGAGAAAACAGCCTGGCACATGGCTGAGCCATGGACTCGCAGTCTCTTTAACATCATATATGCCCTGACAATGACAACACTTGTAAGAAGTAGTTGTAATGGGAATTACATGGCCTGTGCTAGTGTGTGAGCACATTTTTTTCCACCTTCACTGTGGCTTGTCTGAAGAGGCTGCCAGTTGGCCTCAGCTTACCTTCCTGCCCTTGTAGCTAAAATGTGAGTATATGTTGAGGTTTCCTGGCTTAGTTAAAGCAAAATGAGATGGGTTAAGCTCAAATGGTAAAAATATTTTTGCTAATCTGGTCATTTTCATTGGAACAAGGACAGCCATGAGGGCAGAAACCTTTTCACCTCTGAGAATTCCTTAGGAAATGAGTTATTAGAGCTTTTGTGTGTGCGCTGTTGAAATATAGTAAAGCAGATACCATGTAACAATGAAATCAGTCAAGACAGGTTTGTGCTTGTGAGCTGTGACAAAGAGCCTAAAAGTCTGGGACCACAAAGTAGTTGGTCTAGAAAAGACAATCAGTGGGGAGAACAAGGAAATGCTAGGAAAAAAAAAAAAAAAAAAAACAGCTGATGTGATCAGATACTTCAGGAAATTTGATAACTGTGCAGATTTACATATATTTTATATATATTTATAATTAATCAGATAAGACACAGGAATTACCTAAATTAATAACCTTTTAAGGATGGTTCCTCTGATATAAAATATCTCTAATAATGGGAAGTAATGTTTCCCCTGCTTCCTTATCTATCAGATGCAGTCAGAAGTGCAGGACTGAGTGGCCAAAGGATCAGGTTACTTTCCTGCAGCTCCCTCTCGTTTTCCTCCAAATGAGTAAAAGTTAGAGCAGAGGGGAAGGAGAAAGCACATCAGTCATCTTCCAGATGAAATTTAGATACCTCCCTGTAGTCCCTGTAACCATTTGCCTAAATTTAGCTGAAGTATAAATTTCTGCAAATTGCTTTTTGGATATGTTCTGTAGAATGTCCTTAGAGACTAACAGCTAAGTTTTCTAAAACCTTCAGATGCACAGAGCTGGACTATTGAAGAAAAGTACCTCAAGACTGAGTAGGACTTTAAGTACAGAGTTGCTCCTTTCTTTAGAGACTACTGAGGGACTGGGCACAGGTATTGCGAGTTGGAAGATGGATGAGTCTATATACTCTTCAATACTCTCAATGCTCCTGTTAGATCTCAGGCAAAATTAGTTCCTAGATAAACTTAAAATAATGAATTATTTTGGCTTTTTCTTTTTCACTGCTCTCCATTAAAATTGCTTTTTCATACTTTCATATTTTTCATAGTGCTGTGTCTGAAGCTTATTCCATCCAGGATCCTTTTCTACACAATAGCTAACAGATGAGTCTTTAGAAGGAGGTATGAGCAAACTCACAGATGTGGGATAATTATCCTGTATGAAAGTCTTAAACTGATTGGGCTAAGCTTTGAAGCAGAATGCTTTTTCTTTCTCAGTATCCTTTATCCTAGTGCTGAATATTTTTATCTGTTTCTGTGGGTTAAAAAGCAAATATGGAGGATTGAAGGTTTGAAGAAATCTGTAGCCTGCAAAATCTTTAAGAGCATTTGCCACCTAGCAACGGCTGGGAACAAGTATTTCCTTGGAACAATCAGTAATTGTGCCATTCAGAAAAAGAATAGCCCACCACAATGTTTATAGCTGCAATCATAAGTTATGTAGGAAGAAAAAAATGCAACAAAAGACTTAGGTTATGTTACTAACAGAAGAATTTAATTACCATAAGAAGTCTCTAGCAGGGTAACCAATAATCAAGATTAAAAAGAATGTGTGAGACCAGCAGAAAGAGAAACAATGCCATTCCTATTATAGCAAGGGCTTTTATAATAAATGATATGTCAGCATTTTCATTTTGACTTGTGCTGAATAACTTGGTGATTTTAATTCATCATCAAATGAATACTTAGATTAGAAGCTATTTTCTTCTCACATTTTCATCTGCTAGTTTAGTCATGCAATAAATACCACATTCTTCAAGAAGTTTGAATTGTCTGTATATTATTTTTAAAAGTAAAAATATAATTTATAAATATTAATGATTTTAAATAATTCACAGTTACTTTATTAGTTTGCAGGAATATGTAAGGAAAGAAGGAAATAATATGAAATAATAATTTCAAAATGCATGATTTGGCTATCAATATCCCTTTGATCTGCATTTTGTGGTGCTAATGAGACAGTAGGAAAAGAATTGTGCAGATTCTAATAATGCACATGAACCATTGCTTGAATATAGGGTAATATATATCAGTTGTCCTACTTGTACCATTTCCTCTTTTTTTTTTCCTTAGACTGAAGAAACTGGGGTTATTCAAGGACACTGCGTCTTTCATGCTTCTTAGATCTTTGAACTATTGCTATTTGTTAGAGATTTTACCCATGTTACGTTGTGGAATTAAGAATCCATCAGCTTTATCTGTTCTAAAATAATAACCTCAAGACATATAGCTATAGCATTAGCTAAATTCCTTACTAATTTTACATCATTTTTAAAGTATGGGCCATAATTTCTTCATTAAAAACTGAAACCCAACCAAGAGATCATTTATATGCATTACTAATATGCATTATTAACATCAATTTGCATTATTAACAAACTACTTTTACTACCAAGGTAGACCACACATTCTTCCTAAATTGAACTACATTATTTAGAGAAATCCTTAGTCTAACCCCTTAAAGGCATCTGGTAGGAGTCTGCTCTGTTTCTAACAGCAGGAGAGTACATGCTGGATATCAGAATTGGAGCAGAAAATTGTAAGTGCAGCTGAAATAAAAAGGGAAGCAGCAAGCTATTGCCAAGGCAACACAGGGATTTTTGTAATAAGGGTGTTCAGTGAGTTTATACTTGGTACAAAAAGTTTCAGAAATGATAATTTAATTAACTGAAAATTTAGAAACCTCTTCTTTGCCATTGCGTTCAAGGTTTAGTTCATAGATTTTTTTTTCAAAACTTGACATATGGAATGGAATTTATACTTTCAAAAATATCAAAACCTAGACAGACCCTAGTAGGCAAAATTCTTCAAACCAAATGAAGGTATTTAACTGTTAGGATCATGTTGGCAGATTCTGTTTTTGTAAAAGGATTTTTGAAAACTTTAGTTGTATGCACTAATGGTAGACCTTACTTGGCAACGCTTCCATTGATGTAAGTTGGTGTGTTTCTAAATGAGGGCTGCTTGTTTGAATATGGACAGGACATGGTAGATGTTCGTCTAAGAAGAAGAAATTTGCAAACCATGGGTAGAAGTCACTTCAAAGTCTAAGCTTTCTTGCTTAGGCTTCTATCAGTTAACCAGAATCTGAAATTCAGTTGTTTGTTTTGGTTAAGGAGAAAGTTTTTTTCAAATCAAATGTTTCTTTACCTGATCATTTGTGAGCAATATCAAAAGCTTAATTTCTCTAAAAACAGTACAAATCAATCACTAGGAAACTTTTTTTTTTTTTAAACAATATTTCAGGCTCCTTGCCAGCTGCTCTTTACTCCACAAGCAGCTTCTGATCTCTAATGGCTTTTTTTCAGTATCTATAAATAATCAGAGAACCACAGACTAGTTGGGGTTGGAAGGAACATCTGGAGATTACCTAGTTCAACCCTGCTCAAGCAGGTTCAGTTAGAGCCGGTTGCCTAGGACCATGTCCATGTGGATTCTGGATATCTCCAAGAATGGAGACTTCACAACCTCCCTGGGAAACCTGTTGCAATGTTCATCCGTTGGTAAAACTTTTCCTCTCTGATATTTAAGTGGAATTTTCTGTATTTCCGATTATGCCAATAGTTTCCTGTCCTGCTACTGAGCACCATTGAGAAGAGCCAACTTTACTGCCTCCCATCAGGAATTTATCCACATTAAGAAAGAAAAAAACCCTTAAGCCTTGAGTCTAGGCTCTTTTCAAAAGTGTTGATCAAAGTTCTGAGGGAACACAGCAAACAAGATTTTTTTTTTTTTTTAGCTCTAGCAGAGCTGCTTCTTGACTCTGAAAGAGAGCTGATTAAAATTACTATTTTTTCAAAGAAATGGGCAAGGCTGAAAGAAGGAGAAAAGTGAGAGAAATCCACAAAAATATAGCCACATATTCAGGCTATATGTAGAATACAGAATCAGATGAAAATATCCACAAATCTGATTTTAGATCATGGTTTTGAAACTAGGTTTCCACTTTCCTATATGAGTGCTTAGCTGAAGACATTTCAAGGGAGAATGTCTTGTAAGTTTCAGAAAGACTGTAGTTTCATCCTGATAAAGAGTCTAGGAAAATTTAATATATCCAATAGCAAATTTGCACTCTTAGTATTGCATTAATCTTTTTATGATTTACTGTCCTTTTTATTTATTTCAAAACAGAAGTTGAACAAAAAGTAATGTAGTCAGAGCTGAAGCAGTTCATAATATGGTCAGGAATGTTACTGTAAATTTCTATATTTCATCCAAAACAAATGTGCTAGGTTCCATATTAGGGCCTAAAAGATGGTTCTTTCTTCACTCTTAGCACTCTTAGCACTCTTAGCACTTCAAGATGCAAAGGTAGTTTAAGAGGCTCCTTTAAAAACTTTACTAATGGAAAATGAATGTGTATTTTTGGTTTTTAAGCCAAGCATCATTTTGCTGGCTCTTCATAAAAAATTGCTCATTCAAAGTTCTCATTCAACATTCTCATATTTGAAGTATGAGAAGTATGTCAAAGCAAGGTCAGCATTCCAGGAAAACCTTAAAAATGGTTTTCTTCCATCAGTTATCTTGTATCCCTGATGGAATATCCAAGGCATATCACAATAAATTTGATGTGTAGCATGAAATTGTACTATATCCATGCAATTTGTTACAGTACTATCAAAATTTTTATCACAACCTCTTTCCAGTTAATATTTTCTTTATTTACATCTTGGATTATTATCCCTCTAGAGATTATTTTGCAGTTTGTTACAGAGCAAATGTCTGTATATTAGAATCAGTTTTTCATACTCATTTTAATACAGCTCATTTTAATACAGCAAAACCCGTTTACAATTCTTTCTGTTATACTTGGTTGAAATCAGGCAAAGAATAATAAAAAACAATGAACTATTTCATAACCTTTTATCTATTCTATTTGAATTCCACTGAATGGAGTTCTTTGGGGAAAATCAAAACCTTCAGACATGAGCCAACATAGGACAACTGTGTTCTCCTAAATTCTCTGGGTATGGGCGAGTAAAAGACATTTCTGTAAATGCCCAGTTTTCATAGTCCACATATTAGTAACCTTCAGTTAGTAAGAGGCATTTAATTCATATGTGTTCTATTCTTTCTATCTTTCACTCCCTTTCTAATTAGATGTATTTCCTTTCTAATTAGATGTATCTTAGTTGAGGAAAAAACAAAACCACAAACAGATAAAAATCCCACAATATCTTCCCTGCTGATTATGTGATTATTGTGTTCAGTCTAAATGGTAGTGAACACTTAGAGCTCCAGAAGCAGTGGGAACTGACTTTGCCTTCTAGTGATAAAAGTCAGTTTTGCCTCTGGTTTTCAGAGATACAGACTCTTTAAGTCAAAGACTGGTGAAAAATCTAGCAGAATGGAGATATTTTTGTTCTCTACAGAAGCAACAATGGTTTCCTCTGATCCTCTTTTCCAGAAATTTTCCAGTTCTGTTCCAGAAGAACCACCTGCAACTTCTCTGGGAAAGTGCTATTTTTTAGAGTTCTTCCTCTGATCCAAAGAAATGTACAGAAAGATGATCCAGCCCTATCTAGTATTCCCTTTTCTGGATTAATTCTGTGAGAGAGCTGGGAGGATTTATGTGAGTATTAAATTTTCTATCTTTTACTTTATATAGATCCTAACCTTGGAGAGATTCTGGGACAAAAGAAGTGGGAAATGGCATTGTTGTCACATATGATCTTTCAGTTCTCCAAGAAGGAAATTATACGTATGGTTTAGCTGAATAGCTGTTCTAACAATTTCTGTTTGAGATGTGCTGCTGTTTATAATTTTATGTTTTTCCAGTGGATGATAGTCAGAGCTTTGAAACTGGTAATAAAAGGGAAACTTAGAAGTTGGTGAGAAGATAGGACTGTATTGACCTCAGCCTTGATAAAAGAAAAAACAGGAAACTTTCATCAAGAATAAATGGGTTAAATTTACTCTATCCTGTTCAAATTTTTATCTGAAATCATTATCTTATTGTTAATAGCTCCACTCTTTGAGCTAAATCATGTGGTTTAGTTATTTAGTTTTCTGCATCCAAAAAAAGCACTGTGATCCAGCATTTAAACTCTTTGTTCCTTTCTAGACTGTGCAGCTATTAAGTGTTAACCAATTCATGTAAAGCCATGCATTCTGAAATGGCATTCTGCCGCCTGTTCTAAATTTATTTAATGGAAGAGTTCTGTGTTCTCAGAAGCACATTTAAAATATAACTTTGTTGGCAAAGAAAAATAGCTGTGTGCTCCTCTGTTCCGCAGCACTAAAACACAGACATGCAAGACAGGCAGACTAAGCAGGACAAAGTTTCCTTTTTAGAGCAATTTCTCTAGTATATTTGGCCAAGTGGCATAATCATTGCTCCAGTATAACAGAGAGAAGGTAACCTTCAGCTGTCATTATTTCTGTCCTTGAACATAAGCGCTCAGAGAAAACCATGAATCACTAAATCTGAGATTCACACAAGAATTCAGGACAAGAAAAGTTCCCAGACATCACATGAATATGAATCATGTATGAATTAATATAATATAGCTTAGTTCAAGAGAACAAAGAAACATAAGTTATAATATTGGATACAGACTTAGAAAGCTGGTAGTTCCTGAAAATGCCTCTATATCTTTATCTGAGGAGCTATATATGAAATGTGGTATGGGAAACCTGAGCTAGCCAGTTGCATTCAGATCTGAAAAGTCTTTTGTGCAGCAGCCTGTAGTCAGGTATGAGTAATACAGTACACATGCATGTGATATCTTAATGAAGACTATATAGAGCATTAGCTTGTTCACTGGTAGCCTAGAAAATTATTGTTAACAATTGGTATTCAATACAGTAAATGTCACAAACTGAAATTTTATGCTTTACTGTTGGCTCTCTGAAATCTCTGACATCACTGGTTATAGACTCTTTGGTAATTTATTTTCCTTATTTGAATGTGTAACTTTTATCAGATTTCTAAGGTGAATATTTTTCAAAGTAAATTTAGAATAACTATACATATATACACGTACATATATGTATGTATAACTGTACTTTGTAATGAGGTTGAAATTCATTTTATGAAAACATATCACAGATAGTAACATTTAAATGAATAATGGTAAAAATTATTTGACTTGAATTTAAATATTTATGGAAGAAAAAAAAGAGTAGTATTTATCCGTTCTTGTTTTCAATAGATTTTTCTATCCTGTGTATAAAAAAAAATAGCAAAATTGCAAACCTTTCTGGCAAGGGATTGAAATGATTTTAGGGGTTTAAATGTCATGTTAAAGAAACATGTCTTCAAAACATGGAAAAAAAAAAAAGCCCTGTAGCTCCTAAGCTACATTGTCTTCATTATTAAATCCTCCTAAAAATATTTTTAAAACTTCTTTGCTTACTTGCTTTGGTCAGATAAGGTATTTAAACTGTATTATTCTCTGTAATGACATCCTATATGAGGAACATTATCTTAATGGAATTTGAATAATTCAAGAGAGTAGATTCTATTTTGACATAGTTTTAATAATACTATTCTGATTATTCCTTTATTGTTTTAATACAGTTTTATGGGTCATACCGTCCAATAATGCAGTCTGCAATAACTGAAATCTTACTGATGAAATGTCTGTATTTGGACTAATTTTCTACTGTTTGTCACTTTTTATGTGGAATGAAATTTATCCAGCTTACTGCAATATTAGCTGGTGCAAAAAGAAACTTGAGAACCTGTTGCTGGGGCACTTCTGCTCTATGCCACTGATCAGATGTTCAGATAACCATCATATTAATTACTATTAACAAATGCACTATGCTTCTACATTTTGAAGTAAAAAAAAAATGGAATAAATTTACTTTTGAAGATAAATTTTATGGACTTTAGGTCCATAATGATGAATTGGTTAAGTATTTATGCTCTTGCTGGTACAACTTTTTATCTCTAACTCCTCTTTTTTATAAAAATATAACTGAGGTTCTAAGCAGTTGTCCCAACTTTTTAAAAACAGGCTACTGCCTTTATTTATAATTATTATCAAATTATAAAAGGATATTTATTTACTCTAAAAAAAATGAGATGACATATGTAAATTTCATGAACATTAACCACTGATACTATATCCTATACTCTGCAGTGAAACTTGACTTGTTTGTATTTCATTCTTTACACAGTTCAACTTTTCAGTTAACTTTCTGGTCTGATTCTGCCAAAATAATAATGGTATGAAAAGACACACGTCTTGTTTACCAAAACAAAAATCACTCTGCCATCCCTTTCAACAAATTTCTCAAGCTGCACTGTGGACTGGAGAATTAAAATGTGAGAATGAATTAAATAGTCTTATAAATTCATGTATGGCATTTTCCAAGAATGCAGTCACTGCTCAGAAGAGGATACAAAGAGAACTGGTGAAGTATAAAACACTGTGCAGACTAATTTGCAGTTCGACAGTGAATGCCTTTATTTGGCTGGTGCCTTTCCCTTCCCTTCCTTCTCAAAGGCATCAGATTTCTAGGACAGACTGAACATTAAATCCTTTTTGGCATTTCTTACAAGGAAAAGCCAAAGGGACTAATGATTTGGGGCTAACTTCAAGGCATTTGCTTTTCTTTAAATCTTTAAAAGCAAGATTTTCATCTTAAAAATAACTAGATACTTCTTTCTGTTTCTAGTTTGCAGATTCACAGGGACAAAAAGTTTTAATTAACTCAGACAAAAAAAATCTGTAGTCAAGTCAGAAACAGAAATTTAGGCTCTTTAGTCCCCTGCTCAGTGTATTTTTGTCAATATATATATGTCGCTGGTGTGTCAAGGATTGGTCTAGCTGCTAGTTTCTCTTACAGCCCATCCATTTTCTTCTACACCATGACTGTACAGAGAACACTTTTAAGCTGCTGTGCAGTATGCTCCTCTACTTACATTTGTCTCATGATATTCTAATTTACTGCTTAAGAGAAGTTAGCACCATATATCTAGGTAAGAAGCAGTTAGGAATCGTTCACAACTAAAATATATTTTTAATTACTGAGAAAAAAATATACCAAGCGTATTGCTCTTTCTCTAAGAGATTTCTCTAAGAGATTCCTCTTTCTCTAATCTAAGAGATTGCTCTTAATAGGCATATAGGCATATGTATTATTGTAAATCCCAAAGAAACTACAGGCTTCCTTTCATGTTGGAATGTAGTGAGAAACCGTANAAAAAAAAAAAAAAAAAAAAAAAAACAAACAAACAAACAAACAAAAAAAAAACCCCACAAACCAGAAGAAGTTATCAATTCCAGGACATTTCATAAAGTTTCCTAATTATAACACACAAGGATCACAGCAGAGACAGATAATGATGATGAAAGAAGCATAAAGGCTAAAAAGAATGTAAGGGGTGTTTTAGCTGTCATGGAAAATTGAAAGTTGACTAATATAACTGTTACTATTGTTTGTATCACAGTGTTAAATAGAAAAGTATCCTTTAAACACTGGTTAAACAAATGGATTTAAAGTGTTCTCTCTAAGAAAACAGAAAACTGGCTTTTCACCAAGTAATACAACATGCATGAAGGAAAAGTGTAGCTGGGAGCTCTGACTCACAATGTTATATTTCCTCCTCATACAAGAGGGGAAACAGTTTGCACCACCCTTTTTCCTGGCACAATTTGCTTCCTTCTCTCAAGCTCTGGGATGCAGCCCAGCCCATGCATTGATGAGGCCAAGGTTTTGGCACATTTGGCCCACCTCAAAAAGAGCAGAAATCAGTCCACCAAGATCTCCTTGCTGACTCCTGTAAAGGGTAGTCCTGCCTCTTCTGTGTCAGATTTCAAAAGGATTCACAACTAACTAATTATTTGTACAAATGCTGACATTCTGAATGATGTTTTTTAACTTAATAAATCACAATGTTACCAATCTGGCTAGTATTTTAGTGAGTCTTCTTCTCACATTTTCAACACTTTTAATACAATGAGAGTTGTTGGTTTTCTGTTCACCTCATACATACTTTACTAAGGAGCCAAAAATGTGTACTTGGGGCTTAAATGTACCAGATATGGTGCTGAGTCTGAATGTGTGGACAAGGTTTTATGCTGTCCCTCTCCAATCTCTCAAATCTTCTAATCTGATTTACTAACTTCTCTTATCCATTCATGGGAGCAATTACACTCAAGGGTATAGGCCCTCACATTACTTGTACTGTAATTAATTCTAAATGTCAAGTAAACCCTCAAGAGCTCAGGTACTGAACCGGTACTGCTCCCTTGTAGGAGTAAGCATCGGTGAATTTTGGCTACCTCTTTTGCTATTAAATGCTGCCAACTCTAATTATGCAAATATACTCTTGACTTCAATGACACCACATCCATGTGGTGTCCACCTCTTAAACATCCTTCACTCAAGCAGTTAACTAAGAACATCTTATTGGAAAACTTCTGTTCCTCAGGTCACATGGAACACAACAGTAATAGTTTTCCAAATTGCTCAGTATTTGTTTAAGAAGAAATATTTCCGATTTCTGAATCTGGATCTCTGGCGAAAAGGTTGTTACTTGAACACTATGCCAATGCAGTGGAAATAGGTCTTGCTTAAGAACTTGGACTGATAATAAGATGGCAGATCACCATTACCAGCACATCATTGCTGTGTAAAGCAATGGACTAACATTTTGGATGTCTGGATTCCAGTTTGATCTTTCTAGTTTGGCCTACTTGCTGGATTCCTAATCCTTAATTTTATTTGTAGAAAGTTAAACTTCATATCCGAGAGGGTGACAATCAATATGTCTTGTTTGTTGGAATAAGCTAACAATATTCCATGTATAGCTGTTCCTTGACAGTGTCATGGGTGACGCACTTCACTCATAGGAGAGAAGTCATAGTATGTTCTATTGATGTAAGACAGTGATTTGACGTAGTTCAATGGCAAGTAAAACACTGTCTTGAAAAAATTCAATGGCAATGTACACTCAAGGTACACAGAGGAGTCTGAGTGTGGATAGATTCAATCTTAGTCTCAGACTTGATCAGTGGTTTATGTCTAACGAATTATGTTCACAACCAGAACATTGTAGAAAAGGTTTCAATGTTTCAGCACACTACTGCTCACCTACCAAGCAACCATCACTGTTAAGGGATTTCTCAAGCTCAAGGAGGAAGCCTTGAGAGGCATCCTTGTTCACAGGGAGATCCTATCATGGAGCCTACTGTTGTGCAAAAGCGCTCAGCAAGCTCTGGGCTGTATCCTATTATTGGAATAAGCTGATTGACTTACAGTCATATTTGTGTATTAACCAAATTTTGATTGATGCGTGCTCTGTTAGCCCTTGGCTATTGTGCTGTTAGCTGTCTCCCCAGAGTCCAATTCAAGCAGGATGCAGTCACCAGGACTGTTCTGGATGGTTATTGTCCAAGTGAGGTTGCAAATCAGGGATGTAGCCCTGGCTCATACATCATTGTTGTCACTGGTGGCTCTCACTTGTGTAGGGTTACAGGTGAAAGGTCTGGTTGGAGGGGAGCTGGAATGGGAGTACATGTCACAGATGAACAATATAAACCAATGAATCCCTTCAAAACCATTTTTCAGTTCAGAATATTTTTCATCATAATCCACCCTCTGTAGCTTTCTTCATTTTATCCCAGAGACTTTCAGTTTCCGTGGTTTTATGTGCTAATGTAGTCAGAATTCTTCTGTCTTAGAGCATTTGCATTTTGGATTATATATAGTGCATTCTTTTGTTTGTAGAGAACCAGAACATGGCATACTACACAAAATAACAAAAGCTTTAACAGATGTAGATACATTGCTATACTGAGGAATTCTGACTCTAAACTGTGTCATTTTCTACAATGAATCACAGTACAAGCTCATATTCAGAGCTGTTGCTGTTAAAGAACGCTATCTGAAATCTTGTTAGCTTTTTTTTTTTGTTTGTTTGTTTGCAATCAGCATATCTATTCAGGCTCTTTCTTCTAAACACCATCACAGTAATTTTTAAGAATCATTACCTTCCCATCACTGTTTTTCTCAAAGGTTCCACAAGGTCAAGGTCAGACTCTCGCCTAATACTAACCAACATTTTATCTTCTGTTTTAGAGATGATTTTGCCAATTTTTTTTTTCCATCAGATATTGACTACCTTTTTCTTTGGATTGTGTGTGTTTTTTATAGGGCTGCAAGAATAAGGAGACACTGACATTTGCTTAGGTTACAAGGAGAAATAAAAGGATAACTGTGTGGAGACTAGCCTAGAGGTCGAGTGTGCTACGTCTCAGGAAGGTCTTACGGCAGCAAAAGATATAGCTTTCCCAAAGTTAGAGGATGGATGCAGAGGCACAGTCTGTTGGAGAACAACATGAGAAAGGGCTAAGAGTACGAGAAACATCCTAAGTTGTTAGGGAGGAGCGAGAAAGACAGAGATCATAGTGAGGAGGAAAAAAGAGAGCACAAAGGAAGAAGAAGAGTGAAATATGGGAAGGCAAAGAAAGTGAAACTTTCATTTAGTCCAGGGGACAAGTCCAGGCCTGAAGCGTATCTAATGTCAATGTCGGATCATCACCACCAACTGTTTTCCATCTGGGGTTTCATTCTGACCACACCACACGATTTGCTAATGTAGACACAGCCTCAGACACTCGGTGGGCAGAGAACAATTATTTTCAGAGATCATAGAAAAATGTCGTTAGGGCAACCAAGTTCTACATTTGGAGATCAAGGATCTAATAATCAGGTTTCCTGCATTTTGAATAACAAATTTTGAAAGCAAAGGATTTTTTTTTTAAGTTTTCAGACTGGATTTGGGGAACTAATGGATCTAAACTTTGATTAAATGAATGGGTCCCACCAGCTGCAGGGAACATCTGAGTTTCTCAGTGTTACTGGCAGAGACAACACCTGCACTAGGTGCAAGCAGATGGATGGACTGATTAGGCTGGAGGCATCACTGAAGGAGGAGATGCAAAGGCCATCAGAGAGTGTGAAAAGGAGACAGATTGGGGGAGTCACAGCCTGCAGTCACCTCAGGAAGTGCGCTTGGGGACATGGCTTAACAGCCATGGTTTTAAGGGTCTTGCCATCGGACTCGATGATCTCAGAGGTCCTTTCCAGCCACAGGGAGTCAATGTGATAATGAGTCATTTGTAGTGTCCCTCTATTCACATGGACAGGTCATACCTGCGTAGTCACTTTTCATCCAAATAAAGAAGTCTGTTCTGACAATAAGAGTGATATAACCAGGAAGACAAAATTAGAAACATTTACTTACACTTGTCACAAATTGAGTTTACATTGCCCTGTGTCTATGCAGTAATATAAGTATACATATTAATTTAACTACATTTTGTTCCTAAGATTACATAATTGAATTTTTATTCAATTTTTTAGCATTTTTATGTCTAGGAATAAAAGGTCAACAATACTGTTAATAGTGTAGGTTTACCATACTGTATTCTTTCACTATAACATTAATGCAAGGTAATTTAGAGACTTCCGCAGTTTTATTAGCAAAGGAGAATTAGCTATTGGCTTTTCAACAAGGTTAAGTATCTGATGGCAGCTACAGGTTAAATATTAAGCCATTGTAAGTAGTAAATTAGAAGCCCTCAAAACCACTTGAAAATTCAGACAGCATCCTGGAATTGGCACAAGGAAAGACTGGCATTATTTAGCACAAAAGAACTGCAGATATTTTAAGCCAGACTACTTTCTTGTACCTGCATACAACTTTGTCATTGTAGACGACAACAGAGTTCTGCTACTACAAATTGCGATCTGAGGAACTCAGCATAATTTTTGTCCAAGAATGACTAGTTCTGGATTGCTTTACATTTGCACTCACTTTTCTGGCGGTTTATTTCTCGGCCACTTGAATGAGCTCAGTGGTCAGATAAGCACCAGAGTCGGCCCAGGGGGCCACTTGGGGCCCCTGGGATGAAAGCAATAACAGAGGGCACCGGTGACTGAAGGAAAGGGGAGCAGAGGGAGAAGGGATGCCCCTGTTAGTAGATTTAAGTTGCTTGGCATCCTATTTGAGATGACATTCCACAGTAGCAGAGCAGAGTCTCCATAGTTCAAACATTTAGAACCTCCCTCCTCTTTTATTTGATGATAAAAACATGAGACTCCTGGTACTTTGCTGGATTTGTAACTTCCTATTGTTTTAATTGCTTTTCAAGAACTTTGCAATAGTTAGGACCTATACCTTATTGTGTTATGGTTTGTGGAATTATGATTATGGTGATAATCTTGAAAATGCCTCGAAACAGGTTTAAGCTGGTGTAATGAAGTTTAGCCTCTTTCCATTTGCTAACAGCCTTACACTATACTTATGACTGTGGGGAGGGCTGGGAGGGGTTGGATGGAAGAGAGATATAGGAGAAGAAATAAAAATTCCTGCTCATTTCACACGTGTTATATGCTTCTAGAGTGGTTATTTAGGCATTTTTTTTCAAGATGATGCTGAATTTTGTGCCCTAAATTTTGTACTTAAAATGCATCATTTTGTTGCACTTTGACACCAGTCAGTTCTCAGACTTTTGCACAGACGGGACCTGCCTACAGCTCTATTTTCCTTGCTTATTTTCCTGCCATGGCTTTCAGGTCTGCCTAATTTATTGTACATGACGCCTGCACTGCTGCATAGCTAGGCATGTCTGAGCTAACTTACTATCCAGCCCTGGATTTGCTATTAGCCCTGGACTGAAGTATGCTCTAGGTTAGCTTTCAAAATGAGGAGTGGGGCAAGAGACATGGACAGTATTTCCATCAGTGGTGGTGAGCTGCATTTCCATAGGTGGGGGTGAGCTGCTGTATGGACAGAATGAGAAACCCACACCAGAGGGAAAAGGCAGAAAGTGGCAGCTGTGAAGAAGTATTACTTTTTAAATTCATTGAACATATGAATCACACCAAGAAAATCAAACACAAGCTTATTTAGTGTTAAAGGCATATTTTCTCTTTTGTTTATTTGCAGGTGCCTGTAGTCAGGAAGAGTCAGAACTCTGATTTTAAAGTTTTATTGCCAGCAGTAATGTGTCTCTTGGCTGGAAGCACAAGGAGGGACCCTGAGGAGCTATTTGTTACAACTCCTGAGTGATTGTAAGTTGCTACATATTCAATATAACCAACCAGATTTATCCAGGACTCTTAGTTCTACCAATCCTTTTGCCAGTTTAAAGTACAAGATAGATCCGTGCCAACGTTATATGATCTACCTTATAAATTTTCATTAGCTGATTTTACACCTCTTGCTGTGTTACCTCTGAACAATGCTTTGTGCTTCTGGCTGGATTAAAGTGTCTAAAGTGTCTTCCCTGCAGATCTTCGGCTTTGTATGAAAAACAGGACTGGCAAGGTCTGATAAATTTTTCTCCTTACAGATGGCATGACTTTACCACTTTTTTTTTCTTTTTTTTTTTCTTTTTCTTTTTTTTTTTTTTTTTTAAACACAGTTGTGTTTAACTTTGCCTTGAAAAGTGATAGGAAACACTAAAGGCCTAGAATGGCCAACGGACCATTCAAGAAGGTGAAAGAGTGAATCAAAAGAGATGGGTGTGTAAAGATAATTTACAGAGTTTTCCCGACTGTAACTCAGATGCTAGTTCATCCTGTCTGACTGGGTAGTACCTGCCGGCAGGCTGCTTTGGTCAGGAAGGACACCAGGCCCCATTTGTTAACTCTGTGAGGCAGAGACGTTCTGATGTTGCTGCAGACACCATGTAGTGGAGAAAATACTAGGTCACTAATGTAACATTTTATAAATACTATCTATACAATTTATAAATACTATAATACTATAGCTTGCTCTTGTTCATAGTCACTTGCCTATTAATATAAAATTCCTCTTGAAGCCTTCCTTACATTGCATTTTATATACTCCCTTGCAAGTCTGTAACTGTGTCTGATGAAAGAGGATACATTTCATTTTAAACAGCCAGATAAGTCCTCCAACACTTGCCTGCTTCATTAGCATGGGTTTTGTGTTGTGACCACAGCTATGCAACTTCTTTCTCTTAAGCAATAAACTAATTTTCAATAATGCAAATGTAGCCCCAGCAGGGCAACTTTAATTATAATGACTAATATCTGTTACAGCAGGAGAAGGAGAATGAGTTTCTCTGGGAATCTGTTAGTCTGCTTAATTAATTACTATCCCTAATAAGGTCTTTTTAATTACTAGTCTATGTCAGATCATTTCATTTAAATGAGTTTGTACTTTGTAAACACAGGGTTCCAGATCCCTGACTTGGATAAAACACCAAATCTACTTTGAAATCAACACACAACTAAATGAGTTGACATCCTAGACCTAAGAGTTAACTTCTGTGTGCATTAGTGTGACAAGAAAACTAATGTAACTCTATCTAATGTCCCCAGTGCATACTTAGAATATGTGATCATCAGTGGTCTCAGTGAGCATGAGATGGGCTCTCTTTAGATGATATTGAGCTGGGAGATTATGTCTGGAGATGTCTTTAATGCACTTCAATCATATATAAATATGAAGTCCTTCGGACGATATGAGGGATGATAAAAGATCCCTGAGACACAGATAGCCCTGACCATGACTATTTTTCTTTAGAGACCCAATCCTATCATGCTGCATAGCTAACATAGACGGAGCCTACAGAGCCCAAGGCAAACCCTATTTGACATGATACTGTCTATCAGGGGTGTTATAGGAGAGCCACAGCTTCGGGAAAGCTTCAAACGAAGTTCATGCCTTACCAGACACCATGAGGTCTGTTCTTCTGTCAGTCTCTGTTGACAGTTAAACAAATTTGGATACTGTTGTGGTTCAAATGGCTATATTAAAGGGCCTGGAACTATCTTCTTATGTTTTTCATGTTTTTACTATACATTTTCATAAAATAAAAAGAGCCCTCCCTATCTATTTTTTAGCCAAAAATGCAAAATAGATAAGCAAATTCTGTCAATAACTTCTACCTGCTTTTAATACCATTTGTTTATTGTCCCTCTAAAATTTCACACCAAAAAGACTCTGTAAAAATCTAAGGTTATGAATCTTGTCCCTCCTACACACTATGTGTATGAAGGAAAACCCACTGCCTACGTATAGGCATTGCCACAGATTGTGCATTTGTGCAGTATATGCACAGCTGTTATTGCCCCCACTTTGGAATGGAAACATTCCAGTGTCGGCATGGAAATCAAGCACAGCAAATCTGTATCTTCTGTTAAAAGCATGTTTTTGTCTTTACAGTCCGACTATACTATCAAGATTCACTTACCTAGTTAGCATTGTTGCAATTATTACCATGGCATGCCTGGATTATCTGCCTCTGAAATCTCACAGAGAAAGTCATCACTTGGATGGGAATCACAGCATATTAAAGAGTTAAGATACCTTAATCTGGCAGCACCCCAAGTTTTAAGAGAAATACAAAGGGAAATGATGGACTGCCTTCTGGGTTCGTTTTTCCACTGCTTGATAGCAAACATAAATCTGAGGAATATTTAAAAGACAGCTTTTTTTTTTTTTTCCCCCCTGAAATTTTGCCCAAGGATCTGAAACTCGTTCTCTTTTCAGTCATGCTATGTGAGATGATGGTCGAAGGGAAATACAGTGCTATATCATATGGTATAATCACACAGAATCACAGAATATTTAAGGTTGGAAGGGACCTCTAGAGATCATCTAGTCCAACCTTCCTGCTCAAGCAGGCACACCTAGAGCATGTGGCACAGGGTGGCATCCAGGCGGGTTTGGAAGACCTCCAGAGAAGGAGACTCCACAACCTCCCTGGGCAGCCTGTTCCACTGCTCTGTCACCCTCACAGGAAAGAAGTTGCTCCTCACCTGGAGACGGAACTTCCTGTGCTCCAGTTTGTGGCCATTACCCCTCGTCCTATCGCTGGCCACCAGTGAGAACAGCCTGTCCCCTTCCTCCCTGCATTCTCCCTTCCTGAACTTATACATATTAATCATGTCCCCTCTCAGCCTTCTCTTCTCCAGAGAAAACAGGCCCAGCTCACTCAGCCTCTCTTCATACGAGAGATGTTCCATTCCCTTAATCATCCTGGTTGCTCTTCTCTGGACCCTCTCTAGGAGCTCTACGTCCCTCTTATACTGGGGTGCCCAGAACTGCACACAGTACTCCAGGTGCGGCCTCACCAGAGCTGAGTAGAGGGGCAGAATCACCTCCCTTGACCTGCTGGCAACACTCCTCCAGATGCAGGCCAGGATCCCATTGGCCTTCTTGGACACAAGGGCACACTGCTGACTCATGGTTAACTTGGTGTCAACCAGGACTCCCAGGTGCCTCTCCGTGGAGGTGCTTTCCAGCAGGTCGACCACTAATCTGTACTGGTGCTTGGGGTTATTCCTCTCCAGGTGCAGGACCCTACACTTGTCCTTATTGAACCTCATGAGGTTCCTCTTTGCCCAACTCACCAGCCTGTCCAGGTCCCTCTGGATGGCAGCACATCCCTCCGGAGTGTCGGCCACTCCACCCAGCTTGGTGTCATCTGCAAACTTGCTCAGGGTGCACTCCGTGCCCTCGTCCAGGTCACTGATGAACAAGTTGAACAGCACCGGGCCCAGCACTGACCCCTGGGGGACACCACTGGCCACAGGCTTCCAACTGGACTCGGCCCCATTTATCACCACCCTCTGAGCTCTGCCATCCAGCCTGCCCTTGATCCACCGCACCGTGCACTCGTCTAGTCCACTCTCCCGGAGCTTCCGTATGAGGATATTATGGGAGACAGTGTCAAAAGCCTTTCTGAAGTCAAGGTAGACAACATCCACGGCTCTCCCCTCATCCAGCCAGCCTGTCTTCCCATCATAGAAGGCTATGAGGTTCGTCAGACATGACTTCCCCTTGGTGAATCCATGCTGACTGCTCCTCAGCAGCTTCTTCTCCTCCATATGTCTGGAGATTCTCTCTAGGATGAACCGCTCCATCACCTTTCCAGGGATGGAGGTGAGGCTGACTGGCCTGTAATTGCCCGGCTCCTCCCTCTTGCCCTTTTTGAAGACTGGAGTGACATTGACTCTCTTCCAGTCCTCGGGCACCTCCCCTGCTCTCCAGGACCTCTCGAAGATGATGGAGAGAGGCTGAGCAATAACCTCGGCCAGTTCCCTCAGCACTCTTGGGTGCATCCCATCTGGGCCCATAGATTTTTGAGAGGCCAGTTTGCCTAAGTGATCCCTAACCCAATCCTTCTCAACCCGTGGAAGGTCTTCCTCTAGCCCATTTATATCTCTTCCACTTGAGCCCTGCAGTTCATGGGGGGTCACCTTAGCAGTAAAGACAGAGGCAAAGAAGGCATTTAGTAACTCTGCCTTCTCGGCATCCTCCATCACCAAGGCCCCTTCCCCATTCAGCAGTGCACTAACATTTTCCCTCGTCTTCCTCTTGCTATTGACATGCTTACAGAAACCCTTCCTGTTGTCTCTGACTTGCCTCGCCAACTCTAATTCCACCCGGGCTTTGGCCTTCCTCGTTTCGCATCTGCAATCTCTGACAATGTGCCTGTATTCCTCCCACGTGGCCTGTCCCTTCTTCCACAAGCTGTACACCCTTTCTTTCTCACTCACTTTGCCCAGCAATTCCTTACCCATCCATACAGGTCTCCTGCCCCGCTTACTCGACTTCTTTTTTGTGAGAATACATTGATCCTGAGCTTGGAGGAAGTGGCGCTTGAATATCAGCCAGCTCTCCTGGACCCCCTTTCCTTCTAGGACCCTGACCCAGGGGACTGCTCCAAGCAGCTCCCTGAAGAGGTCGAAGTTGGCTCTCTTGAAGTCCAGGGTAGCTATTCTACTTCTCGCCCCATCTCCTCCACRCCGGATCRWGAATTCCAACATCTYGTGGTCGCTGCAGCCCAGACTGCCCCCAACCCTCACATTTTCCATAATGTGGTACCAGTGAGTGGTAAGGATATCTGTAAGTCCACCATAGGAAAAAGAGGAGAAAGACAGAGAGAAATGGAAATTTCCAGTCCTCTACTGAAGCTTTCTCCCAATCTCATCTGAGAGATGTTCAAGG